AATAAATCATAAAAAGAAGGCAAGGAACTATCCTACCTCATGGAGACTAAAAGCCACACTACTGGAAGACCACTGGACTAACGAGGAGATCAAAGAAGAAATTAAAAAATTCTTTGAATTGAATGACAAGGAGGACACCAATATCCTAAATGTATGGGATGCAGCAAAAGCAGTAATAAGAGGAAAATATATAGCAATAGAAGCTCACATCAAAAAACAAGAAAGAACTCAAAGAAACAACCAAATCTCGAAGATCAAAGATCTAGAAAAAGAACAACAAAAAAGCCCCAGAACCAGTAGAAGAAAAGAAATAATAAAAACCAAAGCAGAAATAAATGAAATTGAAACTAAAAAAACAATCCAAAAGATCAATGAAACCAAGAGCTGGTTCTTTGAAAAAATAAATAAAATAGACAAACCCCTAGCCAGGCTCACAAAGGAAAAAAGGGAGAAAGCACAAATACACAGAATCATAAATGAAAGAGGAGAAATCACAACGGACACAGCAGAAATCAAAAGAATAATCAGTAACTACTATGGGGCCTCCCTGGTGGCGCAGCGGTTGAGCGCTGGGTTGCGAAGCTGCCGGTGACCTCTGCGGCGCCAGTTCGATACCTGGCTGCTCCCTGGCCACCAGAGGAGGGTCCCACATGGCGCGCAGACCTCTCCTGCCGCCCGCTGCTCCCCTCAGCAGTGTACTTCGGTCCTTCTGCCTGCTCTGCTCCCTGCTCTGGCTCTGGTGAATTCTCTCACCCTCCCGCACTTCTGACTGTACCCAGTGCATGTACAAACAAAACAAACAAACAAATAAATAAATAAATAAAACATGCCTCTATTTAAAAAAAAAAAAAAAAAAAAAAAAAAAAGAAAAAAAAAAAAAAAATCAGTAACTACTATGAACAGTTATATGGAAACAAGTTCAACAATCTAGAGGAGATGGACAAATTCCTACAACTCTACAATCACCCAAAGCTAGATAAAGAAGAAATAGAACACCTAAACAGACCAATTACAAGCAGCGAAATTGAAATGGTAATCAAAAAACCTCCCCAAAAACAAAAGCCCAGGACCTGATGGATTTACAAATGAATTCTACCAAACATTCAGAGACGAATTAGTGCCTATCCTTCACAAACTCTTCCAAAAAATTGAGAAGGAAGGGACAATACCAAACACGTTCTATGAAGCCAATATTACACTAATACCAAAACCGAATAAGGACAACACAAAAAAGGAAAACTATAGGCCAATCTCCCTAATGAACACTGATGCAAAAATCCTCAATAAAATTTTAGCTATCAGAATCCAACAATGTATCCATAAGATAATTCACCACGACCAAGTTGGATTCATTCCAGGGGCACAAGGATGGTTTAACATCCGAAAATCAATCAACGTTATCCAACACATCAACAAAAAGAAATATAAAAACCATATGATAATATCAATAGATGCTGAGAAAGCTTTCGACAAAGTGCAACATCCATTCCTGATAAAAGCCCTTGAAATTCTTGGGATACAAGGGACATACCTCAACATCATAAAGGCCATCTATGACAAGCCAACAGCCAGTATCATTCTCAATGGTGAAAAGCTGAAAGCAATTCCATTAAGATCTGGAACAAGACAAGGATGTCCACTCTCACCACTGCTTTTCAATATAATACTGGAAGTCCTAGCCAGAGCAATAAGACAAGAGAAAGACATACAAGGAATCCAAATAGGAAAAGAAGAAGTCAAACTATCACTATTTGCAGATGATATGATAATATACATAGAGAACCCCAAAATCTCCACAGAAAAACTAATTCAACTCATCAATCAATTCAGTAAAGTGGCAGGATACAAAATCAACACGCAAAAGTCAGTAGCCTTCCTATACACAAACAATAAATCTGAAGAAGAAGAAATCAAAAAAACCACCCCTTTTATTATCGAAACAAAAAAAATCAAATATTTGGGAATAAATCTAACAAAAGAGGTAAAGGACCTATACAAAGAAAACTATAAAACACTGTTAAAAGAAATAGAAGAAGACACAAAGAAATGGAAAGACATCCCCTGCTCATGGATTGGAAGAATAAACATTATTAAAATGGCCATCCTACCAAAAGCAATATACAGATTCAATGCTATTCCAATCAAAATCTCAATGGCATTCTTCAAAGAAATAGAACAATTATTGATGAAATTCATATGGAATCACCAAAAACCCCGAATAGCCAAAGCTCTACTGAAAAAAAAAGAAGGAAATGGAGGCATCACACTCCCAGACTTCAAACTATACTACAAAGCCATAATCATCAAAACTGCATGGTATTGGAACAAGAACAGACATACAGACCAATGGAATCGAATAGAAAATCCAGAAATAAACCCACAGATTTATGGTCAACTAATCTTTGACAAAGGAGCAAAGACTATGCATTGGAGCAAAGAAAGTTTGTTCAATAAATGGTGCTGGGAAAACTGGGTCGCTACATGCAAAAGAATGAAGCTTGACCACTACCTCACACCATACACAAAAATCAACTCAAAATGGATTAAAGAACTAGACATAAGACCTGAAACCATAAAATACATAGAAGGAAATATAGGCGAAACACTACGGGATTTGCACATCAAAGACATCTTTAAAGACACATCACCCAAAGCAGTGATAGTGAAGAGAAAGATAAACAGCTGGGACTACATCAAATTAAAGAGCTTCTGCACAGCAAAAGAGACAATAACAAAAACAAAGAGAAACCCCACCAACTGGGAGAACATTTTTGCACCCAACACTAATGATAAAGGACTGATCACAAAAATCTGCAAAGAGCTGATGAGACTCAGCAACAACAAAGAAAATAATCCAGTCAAAAAATGGGCAGAAGAGCTAAAAAGAAACTTCTCTGAAGAGGAAATGAAAATGGCCAACAGACATATGAAAAAATGTTCAACATCACTTGTAATCAGGGAAATGCAAATCAAAACTACCATGAGATACCATCTCACACCAGTGAGAATGGCACATATTAAAAAAACTAGCAACAACAAATGTTGGCGAGGATGTGGAGAAAAAGGAACTCTTGTGCACTGTTGGTGGGAGTGCAAACTGGTCCAACCACTATGGAGAGCTGTGTGGAGATTTCTGGACCTACTAAACATAGAGCTTCCATATGATCCAGCAATTCCACTCCTAGGTATTTACCCAAAGGACACAGAAACATCAATTCCAAAGAGCACCTGCACCCCTATGTTTATAGCAGCACTGTTTACAATAGCTAAGCTTTGGAAACAACCCAAATGCCCAAAAATAGATGACTGGATCAAGAAGATGTGGTACATATATACCATGGAATATTACTCAGCATTCAAAAAAGATAAACACATGCAATTTGCAGCAACATGGATGGCACTGGAAGGGATCATGCTCAGCGAAATAAGCCAAAAAGAAAAAGAAAAATACCGGATGGTCTCACTCATAGCAGGAATCTAGAAAACTTAAATAAGGGACCAGGAAATTGAATATAAGAGAGTGAAAATCAAAATCAACAAAAAACTATGAACCAGAGACACTTTTTGGGGGGTGGGGGGCGGGAGGGGAAGGATTGGGGTCAGAATGGGGCGTTTGCAATTGTATGGGGGAATATAAAAATAAAATTTAATATTTAAAAAAAAAAAAAAAGATTAATGGATGAATAAATTGTAATATATTCACATAATGGACTACTATCCAGCAATAAAAAGTAACTATTACTATTCTACACAACACAGATGAATCTCAGACATTCTGCTAAGAAAACAGTGAACACAAAAATGCATTCTATATGATTACATTTATATGCAGCTGGTGGTGTGGGGCAGAAGGACTAAGCACAGAGGGGACTTCTGGGGGTTAATGAAATAATTATGGTGATGCTTACACGGTGTACAAATTTGTTAAAACTCATCAAACTGTACATTTAAAATACATTTTGGGGTCTCCCCTGGTGGCGCAGCGGTTGAGCGCTGGGCTGCGAAGCTGCCCGCAGCCTCTGCAGCGCCAGTTCAATCCCTGGCTGCCGGCGAGGGTCCCACATGGTGCGACAGACCTCTCCTGCTGCGCCCGCTCCTCCCCTCAGCAGTGCACTTCCTCAATCTGCCTGTTCTGCTCCCCGCTCTGACTCTGGTGAATTCTTTCATCCTCCTGCACTTCTGACTGTACCCAGTGTTTGCATAAATAAATAAATCTTAAAAAAATAAATAAAAATAAATAAAATACATTTTGTTAAATCTAAAAAAAAAAAAAAAAACAAAACAAACAAACAAACAAATAAATAAATAAGTAAAGCATGCCTCTATTAAAAAAAAAATTATGTATAAAACCATTTAATTTTCCTTCAAATTATTGTAAGTAGAATAAAGTTGGTGAAAGATTCTTTTATTGCCTTGATTTAGAGGTTGTCAATTCTATTATGGTGTCACATATTTTGCTACCTAACTTTTACTATAACAATAATCATGAAAGAACTCAATTGAAAGTGCATATTTTTTCTTATGACACATTTTCTTGCTATTATCTTACAAAGTAATATTTATCTCTGCCTATATTGGTATCGAGACACTTTGAGACTCTCTACCATCTGTTTTATATCTATATTGCCTTTATTTTGAGGATATGAAAAGTGTAGATATTTTGGAGACTTCCTTCTTCTCTGATACATACACATATGCATAGCTACGCAAAAACTGGAATCCTTGTAACAAGCATGGCATAGTCATCCTCATGTTAATTGAATTTCGGAAAGAGCACTTGAGTTCAGTTTTTTCTGTTTAAACTTATGACAAAGGACATTCACAAATACTTGAATAACTGAATATTTGTTTCCCACTGGAAATGTTTCCTGAACCAAGTCACTTTTTTTTTTGTTGTTGTTAAGTAGTAGGATCTAGGAAGCACAATTATTATTTGATACGTAGTGTGAGTCTTGAGTGAGCTTTCACATATAATTGTTGAAATAAACATTGAATAAGTTGAATAAACATGAATTTTATGGTTGTTTATTAAGATATTGAAAATAACATACATTAACAACGAAAGCATTGGGCCAAGTTCTTGGTGTATATATGATTTTATTGATAGAATGAACATATGAGTTTTTCAAGTTTTATAATTAGTATCTCATAAGTGGATGCAGAGAGTTGTAAGTTAAACTCCTGTTTACAAATAGTGTACAGTATTTTGCCTATATTTACCTTAATTTAAAAGTTTTATTTCCAGAGTTAATGTTAAATGCTTGGTGCATATACTGTTGTCAAGCAATTTACTCTCGTTGTCTTCTGAGACATGCAAACATTTTGCTAAATATAAATCTACAAGGTATCATGGCTGCATATATTTCAGAAGTAGTTAGGAAGATGATGAATGGTGAGTTCTTTCAAATCTTAATTCAAAACAGGAGATTTTCATCTATGTCTTCTGTAAAAGACAAAACAAAACACTTTTAGCGGGAAGCAGAGTGGTAATATAATAAACAATGTTATAATAAAACAATAAAACAATGTTAGAGTTGGGGGATTAGAGAACCCATCTTAGAAGACTGGACATGGTGATTCTCAACCCTGGAAGGGCGTCAACATCACTGTGAAAATTTTTGAAATATATATCTTCAGGCCTTGGCCTTCTACATCAGAATCCTAATGAGGGGGTCAATGGTTTGTATCCCTTTAGAAAGTTCTATTAGGTAGTTCTGAAGTAGGGCTTGAGAACCACTGATAGAGGAGGTTGAGGGGAAGTGCCATGTCACTAGGTTCTAAGGGTTGCTAAACTACAATAGAAATAAATAATAGTAGCAGTTAAATGAAGCTTCCAAACAAGTAATAGTAAAAGAAACTGTTGCCGCCCCTATGGAAGAAGGCAGTGTCCTCTGGAAAATATAAGACCATTCTTTAATGGTATGGGCCAATCTCACTCAGTAACTTATTGGACAAATACTTAAAGCAGGTTCATTTGAACCCTGAACTACTACCTTGTCTGGGACACCAAGTACTTTTCCTGCTCAATATAAAGTTTCATTTCACCCCATGGGCTTTAGTATGTTTATTTTGCATATGGGCTTCATTTGTAAAATGGGAATAATAGCCTCATTACTTAGAAATTTATTTATATTTGCTCTCATACTTTTTGTATTCTCTCTGTTGTTTCAGAAAGTTGTCTGTACTTCTGAACTTAAAGTTAACCACCTGCCTTTGCCCTGGACCTGGATCTCTTCTGATTTCAAATTTCTCCCCTTGTTTTCATTTTTAAAATTGTTATATACACTTCTTTTCCTTTCTTACTGGGCCCTTGCCATCAGTGTCTAAATATGCTGTATATCTAGCCTTAACCTGCCTAGTACTGTATTGACCTTTGAGCAAAGATTTAATGAATGAATGAATGATGACCAAGTTCTTAAGCTTCTTTAATATCAAAAAAGCTTTTCTCAACTCTATATCCCTCTCCCTTTCCTGTATTCAAACATTTACTTTTCACTATTTCTCATCTTCTATTCTTTCTCAAGCTATAACTCTGGCTTCCATCTCTATCATTCCACCAGATTTCTTTTATTTATTTATTTATTTATTTATTTTTATATTCCCCATACAATTGCAACCCCCTTATTTTGACCCCAATCCCTCCTTTCCCTGCCCCCAACCCCCATAGAGTGTCTCTGGTTCACAGTTGTTTGTTGATTTTGACATTTTATTTCTTATAGTTATTCTTTTTCCTGGTCCCTTATTTAAGTTTTCTAGATTCCTGTTATGAGTGAGACCATCTGGTATTTTTCTTTTTCCTTCTGGCTTATTTCGCTGAGCATGATCCCTTCCAGCTCCATCCATGTTGCTGCAAATTGCATGTGTTTATCTTTTTTGATTGCTGAGTAATATTCCATGGTGTATATGTACCACATCTTCTTGATCCAGTCATCTATTTTTGGGCATTTGGGTTGTTTCCAAAGCTTAGCTATTGTAAACAGTGCTGCTATAAACATAGGGGTGCTGGTGCTCTTTGGAATTGATGTTTCTGTGTCCTTTGGGTAAATACCTAGTTGTAGAATTGCTGGATCATATGGAAGCTCTATGTTTAGTAGGTCCAGAAATCTCCACACAGCTCTCCATAGTGGTTGCACCAGTTTGCACTCCCACCAGCAGTGTAGTAGAGTTCCTTTTTCTCCACAACCTTGCCAACATTTGTTGTTGCTAGTTTTTTTAATATGTGCCATTCTCACTTCCACCAAATTTCTTACTAAGGCACCAAGATATCCTTATTCTCGGTCTTTATCTGACTTGACATCTCAGCACTTCTCTACCTCCTTCTCCTTGAAACACTCCCTTTGAAATGGCACTACCCTGTTTTCTTCCTTCCTCCCTTTTCAGGAGACTTTGGATTTTCCTTAGTGAACTCTTTCCTTTATCCATCTTCTGGTGTGTTACTCCTTAGCACTCACCCCTATGCCTTTTTCCATGTAACTTAACACATTTTCCCTGGGGAATTAATTCCCTTTTCTGGAGTCAATTACTTTCGGCATGTTCATCATTCCCCAAAATAATGCTAAATAATGCTAAAACAGTCCTTAACTACCGACCCATATATTCATCTATCAACTATATATTGTCTCCCTAGTACTTAAACATTCAACATGTCCAAAATGGAATTTGTTATGGCCCCCAAATCTGTTTTTGTTCTTGTGGAACAAGAGGATACTTCTTGTATCCTCTTGTAAATAGAGGATACCTCTATTTACCCTGCCTGGCCTGAGTCTGGAACCCAGGTTGTATTTCTCTTTCAGTTACTCAACAGTCTATTCCTTAGTAACCACCCCACCCCACTCCCATTATTTCCTGTCAAGCACTGTTTTATTATTTCTATATGTTTATATTCTTGAATATATCTTTAATATGTTTGTATTTTAAGTTATATCTTGGATATGTTTTCACTTTTTTTTTTACCCACTGTAACTCCCTAAGTTCAAATTCTCATCAACTTTTGCCTGGATTTACCACAACAGCATCTCAACTATTCTCTGGCTTCTCCACAATGTAACCAAAAGAATCTTTCTTACACACAAGTGAAGTGAAGTCACTCCTTTGTTAAAAGCACTTTAGTGATCACTCAGCCTCTTAGGATAATGTCTTGAACGGACTTAGTGGGACCTGCGTGATCTGACATGTTTTCACTATTGGGCTTAAAGGATTTTCGAAAGATCAACGTGGGTATATGTCAGTACTTGGTATGACATGGGCACTAAGTACATAAAAGACTCTTCCATCTCTTAATTGAACCCCATTTTTACACACAAGGAAAATGAGACTCACTGAGGATAAGTATTATGCCCTAATTCACATGATTAATGACAAAGCTGGAATATTTGACTACATTTAATTTAGATCAAAGGCAGTTAAAATTCAGCAAAACACTGACTAAACTTTATCTTGTCCTGTGGCATACTGAGTCCTGAAAGAAGGAAGGGTATATTTACAATTAGAGATTGTTTTTGTTCTCCTAGCTCTATCCCAAAGCAAAACTGTTTACTTATTCTGAGCGAGTATTTAATATCACCTTTATTGGCTTACTATGTGATAATACTTTTCCTTCTTCAAAATATATAATCATGGCCAAACCACAGTGAACAAACAAAATCATTAGAAGCTTTACCAGTAACTGTTCACAGACAACCACCCAGCACAGAGCCAGAGTGAGCCCACAAGCTGAAGAGCAGCCAAGAGTTTTAGAAGGAACAAGAAAGTCAACTATTTTCCTTAAATAAATGACCTTTGCTCAAATTTGCCCCTTGATCATGCTTTCAAAAATCTCATGCCATATAAAAAGGCATACATAAATATGTCCCATTCCAGCTAACTTTTCCCCTCTTGATAATGGTGGAATTGAAGGGGTGGAGCAGCTGTACTTGAGTACATTTTGTCTTTTTTAACATGGGAATTGGGAAGGACAGTTTTAACCATTTTAAGGGATCTATTTGAATTTATAAGTACTATGCTTTTAGAACAGATGTTAGAAAGGAAGTGGTCATTATTTGTATGGGTCTGGAACTTAGTGGCTTTTTAAATTCTGATTTAAAAAATACAAGAAAAAAGAAGAGAAGAAAGAAAACAAGATAGAGCTATCCAAGACTGGGTAAAACTAAGACAGAGTTGGGAGATTACTGGAGGTCCGGCCTCAGGTATACCCAGGTATGTCCATCATAGCCAGCCCAGCATGGTAACTTGACCAATCGTTGCTCAACAAACTTTTCACCTGACTTGCATGTTATTGCACCAGTAGGAACTTGAATGACCTGTAGCTTAATTTGCATAATAGGTTAACGATCAGAATTCCGTAGACTTCTAACCCTCATTTGTATAGCTGACCTGAGAACCACCTTTTCTAGGTAAATATAAGCTCTACTCCATCCAGGCAATTCAGAACATGATTCAGGGGCTTCTTGAATTTGTGTCTCCTGAACTACAGTCCTAATAAAATCCCATATAAAAACTTATATTTTGCTTCAACTAGGTCTCATTTATTTGGGGATGACATTTCCTATCAAATTTAAGTGAGTATAAATAGTATACAGTTGCCAGCTTCAAGATGGCCCCTAATGATCACTCCTCCTGTACTTTCCTTCCACACTGCAGCAGGGTCAGTCTATGTCATCAATGGCATACGGCAGGAGTAATGGTATGTCACATCTGAGGTTGAGTTATAAAAGATATTGAGGCTTCAGTCTCCCGCTCTCTCATCACCTCCTCTGGAGGAAACCAGATGCCAGGCTGTGATCAACCCTATAGAGAGGACTCAATGGTGAGGAACTGAAGTCTCCTGCCTACTGCCACATGAGTGACCTTAGAGTAGACTCTAAAGGAGAATCGTCCAGCTATGTTACGCCCAGATTCTTGATCCTTGGAAAATGTGGAAAATTTGGTCATTACGGTTGTGCTTATTTCACAGAATAATATTATAGAAGTAAAGGACTACTCTTTTCTGCTTTCCTTTGTCAATAACAATCTGATCACACTCTCAACTCTTTCTATCTATTTTGAAAGAGTTACACATACATGTGAAGAATCTTTTTTTAATGTGAAGTCCTTTTCGGTAAATTACCATTTTAGGGGAATTATTATTATTATTTTTTAAAGATTTATTTTTATTTACTTATGCATATAAGAACTGGGGTGTGGGCCAGAGGTGCAGGAGGGTGAGAGGATTCACTAGAGAGAGTGGGGAGCAGAACAGGCAGATCTACTGAAATACACTGCTGAGGGGAGCAGTGGGTGAGACAGGAGGGGTCTGCTGTGCCATATGTGCATTAGTTCCCTGGCCAGAGGTCAAACTCAGGCCACAGCAGTGATGTAATAGCGTGATAGCACTGAGATTTAACCCCTATGCCACAAGAGGGGCCCTCTCTTGGGGGAATTCTGACGCTTGATGAACTTACTTTTCTTTATTGCTTGGCTGCATATTCATGTTGCATGTATAGCGTGAACATATAAACAGGGAGTCTCTGCTTTAGAGATTTGATGTTTACTGTTGATGCACATTCTGCAAGCAGTTTTGATTGGTCAATTTTTGAACAGTTTTCAAAAATTTACTATTGACTCTCACTTAGGCTAAGAAAAGGAAGTACATTAAGACACAACTTAATAAGACAAATGTCTAAATTTAAATTCCTTTACTATGAGAGTAAAGAAAGAAACTTGATTTTTTTGTGTTGTCACTGAAGATATAGGTATGGGTCACTTTTGGATGAAAGAAAGTCTGGGTGCAAATTCGCATGTAAGTATTGGTCTTCTTTTTGTGTTGGCAATAAATTCAAAGATTCTTTTGACATCTCCCATTGTCAGAATCAGGCTTGCTGTCTTACTCTTCACATATGATTTTTAAGTGTTTGGCTCACCATACCCAAAAACTAACTCAAAATGGATAAAAGACTTGGTTGTATTAAAAAAAAAAAAAGACTTGGTTGTAAGACCTGAAACCATAAAATACGTAGAGAAAACATAAGCAAAACACTTCATGGCATAAACTTCAGTGATATCTTTGTGGATTCCTATCCAACAACAAAAGACAGTAAAGCTAAAGCTTCCATCGGGGAGAGAGGTGAGGCAAGAACAAAGTGAGGAGGGAGCACAGTGGACTATGGTGGGGATGGCAGGGTCTCGGTGGAGGGTGCAGTGTGGTAACATTTGAAGGGGGAGATATTATACTTCTAGAACACAGTGTTTAAACCAATGTTACCTCAATAAAAAAATTAACTCATTTAAAAAAAACGTTCTGGCTTAATACCCATATTAAAAAAGGGTATACAATCCTTTTTATAAATTCCCTCTGTAGAGGAGTAGCCATTTGGGATCTGGCACTGCTCTCTCGATTCACATCATTTTCTTAGTCTTAGCCGAATGCTAAGACCTCAATGCAGTTACCCCCTAAATATTCACCCTTGTTACTTTTGAAGAGAGATTATGATAAAGATAATAAGAAATAACTTTGCAGGGACAGGACCGAGGATCCCACTGGGATGCTGCCCCGTTTCTGCCTCTAGGTTCAAGGTGAGCACACAGCAGACCTCTTGATGGGGGCTCGGGACTCAGGTCTTATCTGGAGAAGAGGTCACCCCTTTCTCCTGGCCAATGATGCATTTACCTTCTTTAATTCCAAAGCAGTGTCCCCACTCCTTCAGGGTGATATGTTTATCCTTGTTGGGATCACACTCTTCAAAGAAGCGGGTTATGCAGTGCTCCATGGGGACCAGAGAAGCTCGGAGAGGGGCCAGCTCCGAGTGTGTCAAGACTCTGCAATGAAAGAAGTGACAGCCAATGAGCCACGTAGGAAATTAACTCTGGATCACCAAAGACATTTCCTTCCACAAGCTTGTGGAGCAAGCCAAATGGATAGCACACATGGAAAGTTGAGAATGAAATAAAGTGTCTATGGGTACAGAGACACCTTTTGCAATGTCAATTCACTAGCCTTCCTTTTTCACTGGGAACTGCCCTCACTTCACCCTAACTTTATAGGAGTATACCCCAGAGTCATATTTGTACAACCTGGTTCTTAACCTACTGGCCATACCTGATTGTTCCGTGTGTAGGTACTTGACCCAAGTTGGGCCAATCAGTTTATCTTGGAAATTTAGTGCCAAGAATGAGCAAAGATTTGCACCAGGGACTTGGGAGACATGGAAGGAAATACCTGAAAGATGTGGGTAAAGTACCTGTGGGGAGGGTGACAATGGCAGCTTTTATCCTGGTTTGTGTTTTGATTTTGCTCTTTTCCTTCTAGACTTGCTTTAGACTGTGGCAAGCTAAGGCCTCAGGGCCCCTGCTCTGGGTAACCCCATTTGGCTGAGCATTTCCCAAATGGGAAACTTTGGGTGTTTCATGGGGAAACTATTTTAACTATATTCTTTCTCTTCTCTCTATTGCACATGATTCCTATTAAAGTTCTTTACTACTGAAGGTTTTTGCAAAAAAAAAAAAAAAAAAGAATGAGAGATTTGAAGGATTTTCTGCTGGAGGCTGGGCCCTACCGTGTACACATGGGCACTGTGGCGTGACCATATTCTATGACTTTAAAGGGAGTTTTGTGTTTGGGCTAATTACACTTGCCGTTTCAGCATTCTAAAGTGGAAATGGGAAGTTTCTTCAATTTGCTTAGACTTTTTTTTTGAAACAACTACTTTTCTAACAAAAAAAGATTTATTTATCTGTGCATATAAGAGCTGGGATTTAGGCCAGAGATTCAGGGGGTGAGAGGATTCGCCAGAGACAGGGTGGGGAGCAGAACAGGCAGACTGACTGAAATACACTGCTGAGGGGAGCAGAAGGAGAGACAGGAAAGTTTTGCTGAGCCATGTGCGTAGCTCCCTCACTGGGAATCGAACTTTTGCTGCAGTGGCTGCAGATAGCTTGATAGTGGTGAGACTTAATGCCTTGTGCCACCAGGGAGGCCCCTGCTTAGACTTTCTTTGTATAGATAACTAGACATTCTATTAGCTAGATGATGCAGTTATGTGAAAGGTAGGGTTTCTACCTGTCCACTGGGTGCTGGTCAAGTTCGCTGAACTGCCAGTGCACAGGGTACACATACATGTGGTAGTTTTTCTTAAAGTCCCTTAAGAGAAGGTCGATGGAATGGTCCCCAGCCAAGAGTCTTTTTTCATCCAGGTAAATTTTCTTGACCTAGGATTAGAAAGAGGGATCATCAGAATCAGACAAGTATAATGGAAATGTCACTTGTTAAGCTTTACTTGATGAGCAACAGGATTGGAAAATAAGCCCTCCTTTGAGACCAACTTAAATGTCTTCAATTTAACACTACAGTCTTTCTTATTCCTGCATAAAATAACAGCTAACATTTTTAAAAAGGCTGTATATTAAAAACATTTAAGTCCCTTGATCTTTAATCAAGTAATGTTCATCCAATTCCTTAAAACTATGGAATACTTTTAATGAAAACAACTGAACTGACCTCAGCAAAGTTGTTGAACAGTTTGTGAAAAGTTCAGCTTTCCCCCTACCCTTTCCCCACTGGTCTGCTCTATCCTTAATCCTCCAGGTATTTCTATCCAGTGTCCATTCAGTTTCAGTTTAGCTCTGATGGGACATTACTTTGGTCACCCTACTGAAATTTACGTTTTGTAACTATTGTTCTCAAGGCTCTCTGTGATGATGTATTAAAGAGAGAGGACAGAAATTATTTTTGTGTAATGCATGTGAAAGTATCCATTTGGAACATTACCCATTAACTAACTGCAAGCAAGGAAACAGAATTTCTACTCTTTCCTCTTTGTTTGGATGCACTTCCTGTCTCCTAACCTAAGTCCAACTCTTCTCATCTACCCAAGAACACCCTGTGGCAGCTGGGCACTTCAGTAGATGGTTCTTTCCAGAAGCATAGAAACCACCTCTACAATCTCCCATGGATAGAGGGTCGCTTGTACTCACATTCCCTTCCCATTGCACTTCCGAGTTTATAACAAAACACCTTGAATATTTTGTTTATACTTGGTGCTTGCTTCTATTCTCTCTTGAACCTTGTCCACTCAGATCTTTCTCCTTCCCACTCTAGAAACAGCTCCAGTTAGACTTAACTATGATACCCACAGGCCAAATCAGTGGCCAACTCTTAGTCCTCATCTCTCAACCTGTAAGTAACTTTTGACACAGTTAATGCCTACCCTCCTTCTTTCATTTTTGTTTCACAGCATGTTTCTGACATATATTTACCTAAACGTTTATCTGCATATATTTATATGTTTGCTTGTATGTTCATATTACATATTTATGTGTGTGTGTATATACACTTTTTTCTTAGCATCTGTCTCTTTGCCTAGAATGTAAGCTCATGAAAGCAGGGATTTTTGTTTGATTATTGTTGTGGCTCCAGTATATAAATCAATTCTAGTGACCTAAGAGGTACTCAATTGTTATCTAATAAATGCATTTTCTCTGCAAACTTCTGGAATCAATATTTTGAAATTTTTAATCTTACAGTATTACTGACATTGTGAGTAACGAACTTACCTGATGCCATAAATCTATGTTTGGACTATGAGATGTTGAGATTTAAATCTTATGATTGGGCCTGAATATGTAAGTGCCAATTGAGGTTCACATTGCCTAACCAGAGCTTGCCCACTGCCCTTTGCACTGGGATGGGGTGGTTTTGTAGTGTCCCAAACCTGTGGCATAAATGGTGACCACTGCTTTCTGTCAATCCCTTGGGCTAACCAGGCTTAGGGAGGCAAGCTGATATGTAGGAAAGGTAGACCCCGCACCCCACCCCACACATTGTTTTCTCAGGCCCCGTAGACACAAAGGCCGCTGACCCATGGATAACTTACTTTATTTCTCTGCTTCTCATTTAGGTATCCAGTGTGTTCAGGGTTAGGTTCATAGAGCTGCATGAGGATATTCTTGAGCCAGTCCCTCATCCTTAGAGGAAACTGAGTCACTTCAAAGTCCGTACAAGCAGGAATAGCTGTTCCAAGCAGAAAGTAAATAGATTTCAACCATTGGGTGTTACTCCTGTCCTATGGCAAGTCCTCATAACAGCAGGCTCAACAGCTTGCAGTGACTGAGACCCTCGATGTCCCATTATAACAACAGTGGTCCTTAACCCTAGTAGCACATCAGAATTGCCTAGGGTGTTTTAAAAACATACCAGAGGCCAACTGCCATTCAAAGAAATTGTGATTTGATTGGCCTGGGGTGGAGTCTGGCCATCAGGGAGTTTTAAAAACTTCCAAAAAAATTTGATGAGCAGCCAGGACTGAGAAACACTGCTGTGGAATCAGAGAGTTGGAATTTGGAGGAGAAGGACACAAGAGTTACTTGCTGGGGGAGAAGAGGAAAAAGGGGAAGTTAGCTTATACTGTGGTAACAAATAATGTTGAATCTCAGTGGTTTAAAGAAATGAGAGTTTAGTTTTGGTCCTGATAGAAGCTTAATACCAGTCAGCAGGAGAGTTCTGTTCATCTCTGTCTTTCTGGGGCTCAAGATGACAAACACTCAACTATCTCAACACTAGGGGAAGGGGACATGGAGAACCACATCCTTAAGCTTTTAAATGCATCCCCCAGATACCACATGAGTGATTTTTGCTCAAATTTCACTGGACAAAGCAACACTTGCAACCACACCTAATGTCAAGGGTGTTGAACGGTTTAATCCACTTGTGTATCAGAAGGAGAGAACCAGAAATTTTGAGAATATACTGGGGAAGGAAGACAATTAAAAAAGAAGCTTCTGGCTTTGGAAACAACCCAAATGCCCAAAAATAGATGACTGGATCAAGAAGATGTGGTACATATACACCATGGAATATTACTCAGCATTCAAAAAAGATAAACACATGCAACTTGCAGCAACATGGATGGCGCTGGAAGGGATCATGCTCAGCGAAATAAGCCAAAAAGAAAAAGAAAAATACCGGATGGTCTCACTCATAACAGGAATCTAGAAAACTTAAATAAGGGACCAGGAAAATGAATAACTTTAAGAAAGTGAAAATCAAAATCAACAAAAAACTATGAACCAGAGACACTTTTAGGGGGCGGGGGCGGGAGGGGAGGGATTGGGGTCAGAATGGGGGGCTGCAATTGTATGGGGAATATAACAATAAAATTATATTTAAAAAAAAAAACAAAAAAACCAAATAACTAAAAACACTAAACTGAGAAAAAAAATTGGCAATGCTTATATGAGAAAACCCGAGTTCCAGTTGGAGAAGATAATAAGAAATGAAAATACATAAGGCAATTACTAATAGAACTAATGATCCTACATAAAAAAGAAAGTTATGAGCCCACAATTCAGTACTAGTTAAAACAAAAGCTAAATGCAATCCAAAGTTAAATAATAATGATAACAACATGAATATATCATGATAAATTTTACCTTAGGAAGGCAAGGATGTTTCAACATCAGAAAAATATTATTGTAACTCAGTACATTAATATATTGAAGAAATAGTACTCACATGGCTATTTCAATAAATACATAAATAAAAAAAAAAAAAAGCTTCTGGAAGAATGTGTTGTCATGAAACTACCTGGCTGAGGCTTAACTTAAATTGGAAAGAGAGCAAAATAATTCAGCAAAATTCCAGTGACTCATCTCATTTATTAATTATTATAGTGGTTCTGAGCCCTAACTGCATATTAGGTTGTCTAGATGAAAAAACAATGCCAAAGTTTAACCTGTTTCAGTTAAATAAAAATCTTTTAGCTTTAAAGTCTGGGCAGTCTTCTTATATTTTTTTGTCTCCCCAGTTGATGTTAATGTGTAGCCAAAGTTCAGAACTACACTAACTTTGTCCTGTTCGCATATATGAGTGTATACACACACACAGACACACACACACACACAACTCGCATATGCATAAATTAACCCAAAACGCTCTCACCAACCATGATTGGCAGTAATGATTAATTCTTACATTTACAGGCTCCAAAATAATCCAGCTGCAGTTGGTGACCCTTTTTGGTCCCCTCCAGTCTGCATTTAGTGGCAAACAGATGACAGGAGCTAGCGTAGGTCTGGTTGTCAGTGCCACAAACCTAAGAAAGACAATCATGAAAAAAAGAAAACCACTTTTGGGGCCTCCCTGGTGGCACAAGGGGTTAAGACATAACCTCTGAAGCTAGCCGCAGCCACTGCAGCATGAGTTCGATCCCCGGGTAGGGAGCTACCCACATGGTGCAGGCAGACCTCTCTTGTCTTGCCCAGTGCTCCCCTCAGCAGTGTATTTCAGTCTGTCTGCCTGTTCTGTTCCCCACACTCTGTCTCTGGTGAATCCTCTCACCCCTCACATATCTGGCCTATGCCCCAGTTCTTGTATGCATAAATAAATAAATCTTTTTTAAAAATCCCACTTTTTTTTGAATGGTAATTGGGAAAACACTCTTCTCTTTGAAGCTGATAGTCTGGCTGATAAACCGTGCTGTGCCAAAGATGTAGTCAGGGAGGTGAGGTCATTAAAATCATAATTCTTGGCACAAAGAATAAGTTATATTATAAAAATGGTGATGACAATTTAGCTCTCTTTATGTTCAGTATCATTAAAGCTGCAGATATTCTACAGATTGAAACCATCATTACCTTTTCAGGGAACAGTTGAACTTTGATTTTGCTGGCATTTGGTTCTATTCAATATCACTTTAAATATTAGATGATAACCTGTACATTTATGTATTTATTTATTTATTTTAAACAAAAATTTTTGATTGCAAACTACATTCATTCAAATTACCAAGGATTTGTGGCCCTGTAAGACCAGTTTGCAGAAAACCTACTTGGTCAAGGAGTTTTGTAGGAGGACAAGTCACTGGATCTTGGCAAACACAGTGGGGTTTTCCCTGTTGGTCAGCCTTACACATGTGTCCTCTTTTACACTGGAAGTTCATGCAAGAATCTAACAGAAAAAAATGGATAAAAGTGAGAGAAAGCTAATGGAGTATATAAACTCAAAATCATTGAGATAATTAGCTCCATTCTCCATTAATAAGAGAGAACATTTGGGAAAACAGCAGAAACCATTTTGATGGATGTGTTCATTTTCAGGTGGACTCTCTGGCATCAGACTGCTTGGTACAATAGTTCAGATTTTCTGTGCAGTTTGAATTGGAGATTTAAAACAACAAACGGTTCTTCTCAGCATGCCCGTAGTGGTCAGTGTGAAGTGTCTGGTGCAATGCTGTGCTCATTGGTCAGACGTTAAGTAAACCAGGAGAAATTTATTGTATTGAAATTCAAAAGGTTTGTGATTGCAGTATGTGATGGGAAATTCAGTGTTACTTCTGAATGGGATCTAAATTCACTAGTAAGTAATAAACTTGAGAATAAATAAGGTAGAATTAGTTGTTAGAAGCAAAAGGGTTTAGAGAAAAAGATGTCCAGCTTCCACAGTCCTATCGCAACAAGAGTTTTAGTTTGTGAACACATTCAACTGTATTTGTGTATCAGATGTGGGAACGAAAAATATCAGTGATTTATGGGACTATTTCCTGGGGGAGAACTGGGGAGAGGAAAGCCTCTTAGTCATGGTGTAGCAAGGAAGGGACTGGTTTAACCATATTGTTGATCTTTAATTCCTTCCCTGCCTTGATGTAGTCCCAGAAAGCTTGCTTAGCCCACACTTACCAGCAATGGGCACCCTCATGTTGCCTTCACTTGAACCTCCTTCTTCATGAGGTGAGCCTTCTGCTTTCTTGGCCTTTATAATAATAAGAGCAGAAGTTAAAGTCTGTTTAAGGGGAAGCCATTACATAATTTACATTTCCACTAGGCATACCTTCAGAGAGCTTTTCATACCCACATTTTTCCAGATCTCAAAAGACAGACACCAGTTACAGCTGTGGAAATAGTAACTCTCCAAAAACAGGAGCTATTTCTATCTCCATAAATACATAAAAGATGAATTCAGTGTTGTATCTCTGGGGATTGCTGGGTGAAAATTAGAACTAATGTCAAGAGCAAAATTGGAATCTCCCTTGTGGATTTTGGGAAACGGTAGAAATGAAGTATTATCATATAATACTGTAACTAATGCATGGTTATTCTACTCATCTCTTAAGGAGCTGTTGGCAAGGTTTTCATAGCAAGCTTCTACAGTATAAGAAACCTCCTACTTTAAAATGGTACCAGAGGTCTCAGTAACTGAGGTTAATATTGACCTTCAAGTTTTTGGTGTGTGGCTGCCAGGATTTTGCATGAAACCTCTAAATTATTAATTGAATAACCAACTTTACTCTCATCTGCTACAGTTTTCTGATTATTATCATTTGGGTTTGTGTTTGCTTAATGAAGTTGTACATGAAGTTGTTTTTAATCTTTATAGCTAACCCAGTAAACATTTCAGGATCTCATGTTAGAGGCATTTTCTAGAGCTGGTGGTTCAACTTGAGTATAACATGGTGTCTGCTCTTAATGAATCAGAGCTGCAGTGGCCATTGTCTCCCACTGTTCCGGTGTGTCTGAATTTACTAGGCATGTCTGCCTGGAAAATCATGGAAATCTACTTGATCACTCAAAGGAGAGACTGGGAAGTGCTGAGAACTTAGACTCATCTTAGCAATTCTCAGACTATGTAAATGCCCTTGCTCCTCACTCTCCAAATGGGATAATTCAGAGGAATGACTTTAATGATACAACTTGTGTTGATTTTCTTTGTATTAATGTCCCGTACCACGTCTTCGCTCCTCTTTGTTCCCTGAATTATTCTTAAATAGACTGCGCTAAAATCCAGGGTCTGCTTCTAGCAGAATCTAAATAAAACAGGCATTCTCAGACTAATGATGGAGATGGAGAGAAAAATAAATAATTATTATATATTTCAGTAGTGAACCATAGAGGTACATACAGAAGACTGAGAACACAGAGAAAGGTCATGGCTAGTTTTTTCTCTTAGTATTTTTTCATTTTTAAAAATTGAGGTAGAATTGACATATATTGATTTCATAATGATTTAATATTGGTATATATTGTGAAATGATCACCACAATAAGTCTAGTTAACTTCCACCCCCCACCCATTTTTACATATTTTTTCTTATGATGAGGAATTTTAAGATCCACTCTTAGCAACTTTCAAATATGTATTACAGCATTATTAACTATAGTCGCCATGCTGTGCCTTACATCCTATTATGGCTGTTTTTCTTTCTTGTTCTTTTTTGACAAAGCTAACTGCTTAATTGGACAAGCACCACTGTAAAAAATCTCACCTCTTGGTGTTTTCCAGGTTCACTGGCGTCTACATTCTCATTCTCATGTGCTCTTTCTCCTTGCTTCTCATTTTTGATGTGATGGTCATTGGCTTGAGCTCCTTCATGCTCCAGGGAAGTATGGCTTGGAAAGGAGTAGTCATCACTGGCACTGTGCCTGGGGCTATCATCGCTTTCATCATCAGCTCCATGATTTCTGGGCAAGATGTCACCTTTGGTGTCAGGCTCAATGAGCAAAGCCTCAGAAACAGTCTTCCTATCCTTCTCTTCATGGCTGCTGGTTACTTCCAGGCCAGATTTCTCCTCTTGGCTCTGCCATTCAGTACCTTGATTGTGTTTATTGATTTGTGATGTAGTTTCCTCTTCCATCTCTGCATTGGCGTTATCATCTTCTTGTTCTTGATCATCCTGTTCAAGTTCATCCTTCTGCATCTTGCTTACTTGAGTTGGTTGAGTATACTCTTCCAAAATATCATCAGATTGGGTACTATCTTCTTGCTTGCTGTTAGAATGTTCCTGGGGAAATTCGCTCTCACTTTCTGGGTTATCACTGTGTGTACCAACCTCATCTGACTCTTTTTCCTCCTCCTTTTCTCCACTGGGAATATTTGGATCCTGTTCTTGGTTTCCTTGATCACTTAGGTCTTGGCTACTTTTGCTGCTTCTGTTCAACTGAGGATTTGAATCACTTATAGATAGTTCTTGGTTTTTCTCTGTGATACTTTCTTGTTGGTTAGAATCTATAATGGAACTAATACCAGGAGCAGGGAAGTCAGTGCCCTCTGGGAGTGTTTTCTTTTCAGGCTCAATCATATCATCTTTTAGGTCCAATGTTGCTTCAGTTGGTGCATCCTCCAAATTCTCACTGATATCACTGCCACTTTCCTCTTGATTCTTTAGTCCCAGCTCTTGGTTGTAACTCTGATCCTGATCTGCTGACTGGTCATTGCTTTTCTCTTCTGATTTTAGTACTGAAGAATTTTCAGCCTTAAAAAAAAAAAGTTTAGTTTTGAAAACACATGATAATATAATGTCTATATCATACTTACAATTCACATGTCAACATTTAATATTCATTTTTATTTTTATTCATATAATATCATGTGAACTGATTTCTTCACATTCTGCAACTACACGTTTAACCTGAATCTGAATTTTGTGAAATGAAACAATGATATCTTAGCAAAAGGAGTGTAACTCAAAACACACAACTTTTCTAATATTGAAGACATTTGACATGATCATCCTCTTTTAAAAAAACTAAGCTGGGGCCTCCCTGGTGGCACAAGGGGTTAAGCATCAGCACTATGAAGCTATCTGCAGCTACTGCAGCACAAGTTCAATCCCCTGCCAGGGAGGTGAACCACATGGCGCAGCAGATCTCTCTTGTTTCGCCCACTGCTCCCCTCAGCAGTGTGTTTCAGTAGATCTGCCTGTCTGCACCTCACTCTGTCTCTGGTGAAGCATCTCACCCCCCATATTTCTAGCCTGTACCCCAGTTCTTCTATGCATAAATAAATAAATCTTAAAAAAAAACTAAACTGAGACAGAGATAATATCTTTGATTGTGCCTTGAAGTTGAGAACTTTGGGTAATTAAAAAATTGTATTAGTGTACTCAGGTTACTTTTACCTTATCGTTGGCATGGTCTTCTACAGATTCTGCAGTTTCCTTTTCATTTTCTGCATCTTCAGCACTTAAAATGGGGATCGCAGTGTTGTCAGGTGTTACCAACACTTCAGCCTGTTGGGTGGAACTCAAGGAATCAGCAGTTGGTTTGGAATCCTCAGATAGGAACCTTGCATTTGTCTGAAAAAATTAAAAACCAGTTTGTGTCATTCATGTTTAGATGCTAATATTTAAAATTGCTATTACTCTTTTATTGTCATTATTTTTAGTAGCAACATACTGTATTCATAACATCAATCAAAAGACATTCTCTAAAATTTATAAGGATATACACAAATGACCTGAATATTATTTTAAGTGAAAACAGGATCCGGATATATTTAAGAAAAAAGTTATTTGTTCAGAGACTAGCTGAAAGTAGAGCAAAAATGATTTCAATAATAGTAATCTTTGAGTTTTATATATTTTTTTGTTTTTCAGACTTTTTGAAAGTATTCATGCTTTATAGAATAATGTTTAGCAGAGAGTTGAAATCAAATTAACAATAAGGGATAGCATTGTGCATTTCTTAAGTTAACTTATAAGTACTCTGATAATTATCAGAAAAGATTACAAACCTTTTATTTAATATTTGTTACTTTTTTAACATTATCAAACTTACAGCCACCAACAAATCTTTTAATAAAAATATAATTTTAAAAACTGTGAAACATCACCAAGTATAATCGGAAGAGCCACGACAGAGTATTATTTCCACAAGGGCATTGGCTCTGCTATTCCTAGCAAGACTGGAGACATATATGGAGGCTGAGATGATGCAATGTGAATGCATGAATATTGTTTCATACGCCTGTTGGCCATCTGCATGTCTTCTTTGGAGAAATGCCTATTTAGCTTTTCTGCCATTTTTTAAATTATGTTGTTTGTTTTGCTTTTGTTAAGTTGTAAAAACTCTTCGTACATCTTTGATATCAGTCCTTTATCAGATGTGTGATGTGCAAACATTTTTTTCCATTCAGCAGTGTGTCTCTTCATTTTGTTTTACTGTCTCTTTTGCTGTGGAAAGCTATGTAGAGATCCTCAAAAACACGACAAATGGATCTGCCCTATGACCCTTAATTCCACTCTTAGGAATCTATCCAAAGAATACAAAGCATTAATTGGAAAGAAAATATGCACTCCTATGTTTATTGCAGCACTATTTTAATAGCCAAGATATGGAAACAACCTAAATACCCTCAAACAGATGATCAGATCAAAAAGATGTGGTATAGGGTCTCCCCAGTGGCGCAGGGGTTGAATGCTGGGTTGCGAAGCTGCCCGCAGCTTCTGCAGTGCCGGTTCGATCCCCGGCTGCTCCCCAGCCACCAGAGGAGGGTCCCACATGGTGCGCAGACCTCCCCTGTGCAGACCTCTCCGGCTGCCCACTGCTCCCCTCAGCAGTGTTCTTCGATCCTTCTGCCTGCTCTGCTCCCTGCTCTGGCTCTGGTGAATTCTCTCACCCTCCGGCGCTTCTGACTGTACCCAGTGCTTATATAAATAAATAAATAAATCTTAAAAAAAAAAAAAAAGATGTGGTATATACACACAATGAAATACTACTAAGCTATCAAAAAGATTGATGCATGTCATTTGTGGCAACATGGATGGAACTAAAAGGGATTATACTAACTGAAATATGTCAGAAGGATACAAATAAATACCTAATGGTGCCACTTATTTGTGGAATATAGAGAAACCAAACAAAAGGAGAGATAAAGATAAACCTTGAAAGCTGACTATAGATCTGAGACATCCAGGAGAAAAGGGGGAGATAAAGAAGGAGGAGGAGGAGGAGTAAAATCAGGTGGGAGAAGAGCACATTGGACAGTGACTAAGGTTTCTAAAAGGGGGAGGTGGTGTGGTGGGGAACAGGGGGGAATGGGGTCCATTGGAATATTACTGAAGCTTTGGTGGTTGATGTGGTGAAATAATATACAACTTTAGAGGTGTAAACCTTAGTATACCCCTAAGACATACTGTGATGTAAATCAATATTACCCTAATAAATGTAACTTAAAAATATGGTTACTTTAAAATTAAATAAATAAAATGTTTTATAAATATAAAGGAATTATCCAAGTGAAAAAATTATTATTACTCATAATGAGTAATATTTGGTAGTTTGGTAATAATACGAACTATCTCTTCTCTTAGGGAGGTATCAGATGGGACTTTTATTAGAAAGAGACCTGGATACTCAGATAGACCTGGCTACTCAGGCAGACTTGGAGAAATATAAAGCTTAGGTTCTATATGGAATAATTCATCTTTACTCCTTTAATAGGTCCTGTAGTGCTGATTGTGTAATGTAAAAAAAACCATAGAGTGTAGGATTTACTTTTTTTTTAAGATTTATTTATTTATGCATACAAGAACTGGGTACAGGCCAAAGGTGTGGGGGCAGGGAGAGGATTCACTAGAGACAGAGTAGGGAATAGAGTAGGCAGATTGAAATACACTGCTGAGGGGAGCAGAGGGCGAGACATGCTGTGCCATGTGGGTCTCGTCCCTGGCCGGGGATCAAACTCGTGCTTCAGTGGCTGTGGACAGCTTCATAGTGCTGTGTCTTAACCCCTTGCACCATCAGGGAGGCCCAAGATTTACTTTAGATATGGTTTGTTCTCTTGCTACTTATTACCTTTTCAACTGAGGAGAGTCATTATAGTTGAAAAAAATTTCCAGAGATGCCATTTTTGACAAGAGAAAGGAGAAATAATGGTGATCACCTTCGTTTGTTGGCAGGGGTATCATGGAAAGCAATGGATGCCGGAGATTTGGATTTGTTAGACTGAGAATTGCTCTTCCTCTCTGCACCCCTTCTTCTCTGCTCCTTCCCCCCACCTCCAAATTGGAGAAGTACACAAAAAATAGCAGTTCATTTTCTTTCTGAAATTTTCTGAAACAAAGATTCTACTTTATCATTATACCCACACTTTTGACAACATACCTTCTGGAAATCTGTGGAATCTTCTAATCACACAGAATTCATTTACATTTGGAGAATTCAGGCAGAAGGGAGAAGTGGGACGAGATTTTTAAAAGGTAAATCTTATGAGACAACATTAATATTAAGCTTTTTAGCATTTGGTTGGGTTTCTAATAACAAATTGTCCTAAAAAGGAAACAGCTGTTATATATTTATATTCAGGCATGTCTTTCAAACATTTGGTTCAATACCACATTTGACGCCTGTTTACATAGCAGCAACAGCTGCAAGGGAAAAACATATTTCGAGAGAAAACAATGGTTCTGTGGGAGTTCCTTTCTGTGCTGACTATAATTTTCCCTGCTTTTGCAATTTCAGAAGACATTGTTTGACTTCAGCTGGAGCAGTGCCACACCACTTAAGTATGTTCCTCAGCGGTGGCCACCGGTTCTGTCTTCTAAGATCTGCTTGGTGTAGGTGGCATGGCATTTGTCTTTGCTGACATCTGTCAACCAGAAGTTGGCTACCGCTCTCCAAAGAGCAAGGACAGAATATTCTAGTGGAGAGGGAGCGAGACAAGAGATAACAGCTTTGTCTATTTCAAGAGATAACAGCTTTGTCTATTTCAAGAGATAACAGCTTTGTCTATTTTCACCATTTGGTGAAAAAGAAAGGACGGCACAAATTCTTTAATTTGGTGAGGGATGATATAGATCACTTGGGGGAACAACCAAATGATCATGCCAGCCAGAGTACCATTTTATTTTTATATTTTAACTATGCTGTTATTTTGAGGCTACTGACTTGGTCTCAAATGATCTGATTTCACGTGTGAATGTGGACCAGTATATCTGATCATGAAGGAAAAAATGTTCTGGCTCAGTCTGCTTTCAGCATACTTGTTTGGACAGATCCCCAAAGATGACTTAGGAGCTGATTTATGCTCACTGCACCTGCCTTTTAACCCATTGCTTCCTGTTTTTATTTTAGACTCATAATTTCTTATAAAGTATTTGATGTGGCAGAAAAGGTAAAGTTTTTCATACTAATTTCTTAGGTTTATCATACCACAGTAACGAGTTTTCATAGGAAAATATATTTCTTCCTATTCATTTTGGTGTGTGGGCACATTCTCTGTCTAACAAACCTTTATTCAACACTTTTAACTGCAGATTTATTATTTTATCCCATAGAAACTGAAAGTTCTGAAAGAAACATTATTATGTAACATTGCATTATAACTTACGTAAGTTTTTTTTTTATTGCTGTAACATTGCATTGTACCCTCTAAGTTTCAGGTGTATATCATTGACAATCAATATGGGTATATACTATATTAAGTTCACCACTACAAGTCCAAGTTTATCCTGCATCATGTAATTGTATCCTTAAACCCGACTGACCCACCACTCTGCCTCTTTCCTTCTAGTAACTACTAGTTGGTCTTTTAGTCCAAATGTTTATTTTTGTTTTATTTAATTCATCTGTTTATTTTCTCTCTATACCACATAGGAGTTGTCAGGCATGTGTTTGTCTTTCTCCATCTGGCTTAAGCCATTTTTTTAATCTCAATTTTTTAATCTATTCATTCCTTGCTTGGACAATTAAGATAATATGGCTAAAATAAAAAAGAGAATTTCAAACCACTAGGTAAGAACAGTTTATTTTAAGTGGAATTTCCTAAAGTAAATGTCAGAGATGTAATAAAAGAAGAAAGTTTATTTACCGGGATTGCAGCTGCTGTTCCCAAAATGTAGAGGAAAAAAAGCACAGTCTTCATGCTTGCTAGGCCTGTGAACCAAGAGGACAATTAGCAGGTAATTTACAGATTAAGAAGGTGTTAGGAGTTGGCGCCTCAACTCTGTCCGGGGTTCCCAAAAACCACACGGAGCCAGAGATGCAAAAGCAAAAAGGCTTTATTGCTAGCTTAAGCTAGGGTCCGATTCTGCCTGGTGTACTGACACAGCAGTCTCACCAGGTTGAGAGAAGGACCCCTTTAAGGGTGACAAGCTGTTTTTTATACTCTGTTTACAGCAGAAAAAGGGGACCTTTCATATCAGAAAATGGGGACCTTTCACAATGGGGACCAAGTTCGATCTGATTATGTACCTTTCTTTGGCAACCTTTAAGTTGTTTATTCTTGCCTTGGGGAACTTGTGGTTTTACCCTGAAACGACTTGGGCTCAGCTGTGCTCTCCAAAATGGTCATCTTCCTTAAAATGGCTGCTGTCTTGCTATGTTTAGTCCTTCAATATCTTACAAAGGTAATTTTCCTAGCAAATAGTAAGCTTTTTTAAAAAGATTTATTTATTTATGCATAGAAGAGCTGGGGTAAAGGCCAGAGATACGGGAGAGGAGGGTTGTGGGGGCGGTGGTGGAGAGGATTCACCAGAGACAGAGTGGAGAATAGAACAGGCAGATTGACTGAAATACACTGCTGAGGGGGGCAGCGGGCATGGCAGGAGAGGTCTGCTGTGCCATGTGGGTTTCTCTCTGGCTGGGGATCGGACTCATGCTGCAGAGGCTGTGGACAGCTTCATAGTGCAGTGCTTAACCCCTTGCGCCACCAGGGAGGCCCACAAATAGTAAGCTTTTTACTGTCCTTTGTATTTAAATGCAATTGTTGTTGGAAGGACACATCTCAAAGCAGGGATTAATGACAGTTTTTACCCAATTGTGGCCCTGTAAAAAACAAACAAACAAAAACTCCTTGATTTTTTTGGCCCAGCTGTGTTTGACAGGATCTGCTTATGATTGTTCCTCCTTTCATAAAGGCTCTCTCTATGCTGATCTTGGGGCTTAATTCATGTGTGTCCATGGTGAAGATAGTAAGGGAATGAATATTGTATGTCAGGTTTGGATAAAACCAACTGCCTCTCTGGTGATGGAGAAATGTACACACTCAGTGACTTTTTCAGAATGCAACTGCAATGTCCTTGGGAGGTTACCAGTGATCATCTGATCTAGTGATGTGACATTGATAATCTGTGAATTGGTGGTAGTCTGCAGATAGGTTGGTCTGGTCATCATTGTGCGATTAAATTAACATTTTAAAATTTGAAGTTTCACATCAAAATCCAGATTGGACCTGAGTAAGGGCTCTCTCTAAGGGACGCTGGCTTTGTACTTGGTCTGTGTCACTTTGGTTCTTTGCCTTGCATTTGAGTTTAGAAAGTTCCAAACTAATTTTTTTTCTAGTTTAGTTTTCAGATAAGAGACAGAGAGACTCAAAGAGACCAAGTAAATTGTCCTCCAGATGAACTCTTAAAAAATTGTGGGCTATCTATATTTTCTTGTACAGTATCCCTAAATCTGGGAACCCAAATTGCCTGGGATTATGGAGACAGCGTTTAGTCTTAATAGAGATGTTCTGGGTCTCCCAGAAATAGTAGAATTACATTTTTTTGGACAGTCTTAGTTTTATACATGAATACATGCACAGAACTTTAAATAATACTTTCTGGTTTGTAAAAAAAAAAAAAATTGAGCAGTTTCTTCTGCAACTTACCTCAATATTTCTAAATAATGTGCTTAAATGAATATTTAAAAAGTATATTAGTGCTTACCATAATTGTACTCATTTAGCACATTACTGATTTAACACTTCACATACAACACACATGCAGATACAGAACACACTGGCGTACACACGTACTCCTCCCCTTCCTTCCCCTCCCCTGTCTTCCTAAAACAATAATATCATAATTCTTGTTTAAATCATTGCTTAATATTCTATGTATTCAAAATTAACCCTTAAGAGTTGAAATAATGAAAGTGTGGTTAAAACATGACTTTTTTTTTAAATTCTATTTTTTTTTTAAAGATTTATTTATTTATTTATACAAGCACTGGGTACAGTCAGAAGCGCGGGAGGGTGAGAGAATTCACCAGAGCCAGAGCGGGGAGCAGAGCAGGCAGAAGGACCGAAGCACACTGCTGAGGGGAGCAGCGAGCGGCAGGAGAGGTCTGCGCGCCAGGTGGGACCCTCCTCTGGTGGCCGGGGAGCAGCCGGGGATGGAACCGCCGCTGCAGAGGTCGCAGGCAACTTCGCAACCCAGCGCTCAACCGCTGCACCACCAGGGAGGCTCAAAACATGACTTCTTTGTTGCAGAGAATTGTATGGACAGATGCTCATGGGATAGAAGGTACATTGATTTAAATATATTTTTTCAGGGCCTCCCTGGCGGCACAGGGGTTAAAGACAGCGCTACAAGCTATCGACAGCCTCAGCAGAATGAGTTCAATCCCTGGTCAGCCAGGGAACAACCCACATAGCGCAGCAGACCTCTCCTGACTCGCCCACTGCTCCCCTCAGCAGTTTATTTCAGCAGATCTGTCTGTTCTGTTCCCCACTCTGTCTCTGGTGAATCCTCTCACCCCCCACACCTCTGGCCTGTACCCTAGCTCTTATATGCATAAATAAATAAATCTTTAAAAAAATATGTTTTTTCATAAACCTAAAAAAAAATCATTATTCAACATTTATGACAATGTAATTATTCCTCATAGCTGCCCCGAGTAGTCATTTTATGTGTTTAATCATACTGAAATTTCTTTTCTTGAACAACATTTTGTTTTTACCTGAATATTGAAGTTGCTTCCCTTCCTGGTTTTTATGTATTGGTCTGTGGATGCATCACTTACTCTTCCTTCCAACAATAACAAACACTTCTTTTAGTATTGATACAGTAACGAAGGACATGTCTCTTTCTGTCTGACCAGATAAGCATTTTTATCTTCTTTATTTACCCTGTAGGTTTACCAACTTTGTTTTCTTACATTTAGAGGATCAAGTCCACCACTAGGAAGATAACATCTGAACTGCTAGCCACAATGTGATGGTGAAAAAAAGCTGATGTCAAGCAAATCCTCCAGATGCTTATGTTCAAGGATGGACATGCTGACACTTGCCCACTCCGCTTCTACTCCCTTGCAACTTATCTAAAGTTACTGTATCAATACTAAAGGAAATTTTTGTTGGTGTTGGAAGGAAGCCCGAGAAGGGAAGAAACTTCAATATTCAGTCAAAAACAAAATGTTGTTCAAGAAATGAAATTTAAGTTACAAGGGCAGGACAGTGGTCTTTCTCCCCCCGCCACCCCAAAGATTTATTTATGCATACAAGAGCTGGGGCACAGGCCAGAGATGTGGGGGTGGGGGGGGTTAGAGGATTCACCAGAGCCAGAGTGGGGAACAGAACAGGCAGACTGAGGAAATACACTGCTGAGGGGAGTAGAGGGCAAGGCAGGAGAGGTCTGCTTCGCCACATGGGTTGCTTCTTGGCCAGCCGGGATCAAACTCGTGCCACAGAGGCTGTGGACCACTCCATAGTGCTGTGCTTAACCCCCTGCACCACCAGGGAGGCCCGGGACGGTGATCTTTTAGACACAAGTCTGCTGCCCTTCTCAATTTGTCCATAGATTAAACCACTTTCCTTCTCCTCAAACTGTTTCCTTTTATTGGCTAAGGGAACTGAGACAGGCTGGCGTTCATTATCAGTGTGGTAACAATCACAAGAACAAGAAAACCACAACAAAATATCAGCAAATCCCCAAGTCATGTTTCCCCTGGTGGTGATGTCCTTTCCAGAGTCCTTTCTCTGCTCCTTTTGACTGAAAGTCCAGGGCCCTGTGGAGCTTTTCCCAGGATCTCTTGTGCACTCCCTTAGCGCTGCCTTTGTCCTTTTCTTCTGTTGGGTTCTTCATTCCTGAGCCCCGTGTGTTTTTCTATTTTTGGTTTTCTACACTCAAGAACTGGCTTTTTTTGCTTATGGTACCCTCCTCTGAAACCTTCAAGTTTAAGCTTTTCCTGTCCTTCCAACTGCTTTCTGTTTTCTAAAAGTATGTTGATCTCTTCTATTCATTTTGTCTCCTCATTTCTTGTCTGTATGAGCTTATATTATCATATTTTACCTGTCATGGTCCTGGAATTTTACTGTGGAATGGCAATCTATGCATACTTTTTGATTGTCTCATTTAATAAACAGATGATTTCTATGTCTTTTTAAAAAAGATTTATTTATTTATGCATACAAGAACTGGAGTACAGGCCAGATGTGTGGCCAGAGGTATGTGTGTGGGGGGTGAGAGGATTCACCAGAGACAGAGTGGGGAACAGAACAGACAGATCTACTGAAATACACTGCTGAGGGAAGCAGCGGGCGAGACAGGCGAGGTCTGCTGCACCATGTGGGTTGCTCCCTGGCCAGCCAGGGATTGAACTCATTCTGCTGTGGCTGCCGATAGCTTGATAGCGCTGTCTTTAATCCCTGCGCCACCAGGGAGGCCCTGATTTCTATTCTTCATTGACTTATATTCTCATTATTATTGTTATTAAAGCACATAGGAATTACTATGGAGTTTTGGTTCTAACAGCAAATGAAATTTTTTTTGCTGTTGTTGTAGAAGAGGAGGCTTTAAGAATTTCTTCAATATTAGAAGAAAATAAGAATACATTTCACACACCCAGCTATTCAAATTCACCCACAGTGTGGGCCACCTCGACTAGAGAAGAGCGTGTCGGAAGGATAGAGAGTTAAGCTTTACATAGAAGGTGATTTAGAATTGCATGTAGGGGAAACATTCAATGACCTTAAATGAACTAAACAATTCCAACTTTTAATGAAAATAACACATTCTCAACTTGGAGACTTAAGTATAATTTTACTATGGGATTTCTCAGAAAATGACTATATTACTTAAGCAGAAATTCAGAGCTCACAGTGGAAAGTGTACTTGCATCAATTATAAAATTTAAATTAAGTTTATTTAGAATTGATAGTGATATATAAA